TAGATAAACGGTCGTTGTCCATGTTGTTATTCACGCGTACAGGAACGCCCCCTTCCCACGCTCTTACTTAAACTTGGACGCGTGACTTTTTTCATGGTTTTACCCAAGCTTAGACTCATGATAATTTCACACGATACTGCTTAACTTTAAATGAATCATCTTTTTCCATGTTGGTGTTTACGTTTACAAGAACGTCCATTTTCCCACACTTTTACTCAAACCTAAATGCGTGACTTTTTTTCATACTAGTGCCGAAGCTTAGACACGACCATTTTTTACGCTTAGAGGAACATCTTTTCCGCGCTGTGTTGTCCAAAGTTAAATGCATGACTCTTTTTCATGCTGTTGTTTAGACTAAGATGCAAGCTTAGACTCGTGATCTTCACACGATACTGTTCAACTTTAGATAAATGACCGCTTTGCACACTACTGTCCAAGGTTGAACGCATGACCGTTTTTCATGCTATTGGCGACGTATTCTTTTCTTTTACAGAAACTCGTGATACGGAAACGTGGAAAAGTGAATATAATAATAATCGTTCGTAACGAATAAGAAATATTAAAACGTTAAAGAAGAGTCGGGTCACCTCGCTGGCTTTTTTCCTCCCACTACCCTTAAAATCGCTTATCTATTGTAAAATTCCTCAGAAATAAATAAATAGAAGCAGAGGAACAAAACCGAAGGCCCAAGTTTTTTTAATACAAATTTTCTTGGAGAGAGTTCCGGATTGGCTGAGCATAGCCCGCCAAAGAAGACTCGCTACACAATTATACAATTCTTCCTTGCTGAGCTCACTCGACATTTGCCAGAATATTAGGAGCAATTTCCATGAACTGCCCGGCGCAGTAGATAGGAATATTAAAATTTGAAGTGAAAGCTACTCATCCACCTGATTGTTACCTGCAAATTACGAAATTTATTTCAACGAACGAAATTTCGTCAAATTCAATTGGACATTTTTTAGGTATCCTTTAGCTACACAAATGTGAGCTGCTTTGAACCCTTTGCTACTTGTGTGTGCCATAAGACTTTAATGCCATCTTGTAAGCAGTAAATAAATCTCCTTTCAAATAATCTTTAAGTTAGTTAACAAAAACATTTGAGATTTCCGCGAATTTGCTTAAACATCCCTCGTATGTATATATAAAAGAACCAAATGAAGCGAAATATTTGCGGAAGATTTCAAAAGTGATTAAACACTCAGTTGTCTCTCAATCACTATGCTTGCATGACTTGGTTTCAGTATTAATGTTTGTGTTAGTTATTCGAGAATTTCAAATCGACATTTTCAGGTTTAATCCTTAGAGACAATCTTCCGCAAGAGTAGTCGAATAGGTAAGTGTTTGCGCCGTTTCAAATCCCAGTGTGGTAGAATTTACTTTGGTCATAAAGCTAAACTGCTTGCCCAGCTTACTGATCGGGAACATACCGACTAGACTACGCACACCTACCTGCCTCTTATTTTAACTATCTTTTCTTTTTAAACGTTACGGTTTTACATGGGTAGAAAACGCTCGTGTGAATGATTCGTCATATAATGAGAAAAAAAAGAAAAATCTTTAACCCGTTAAAGCTGATGAATCCAAAAAAAAAAAATTCGAAAATTCATTTACTTTAAAAAAAATCAGAAAATTTATTACAAATTTATTGCAAAATTTTCTGATATCATTTAATAAGTTTTACGCACATTATCAGCAGCTATGCAACTATTCGGGCTATGGAAGGTTCATATAGCGACATTTTTCATAAAATGAAAAAAAAGTTATAGTCGTCTTATTGGCGCCAAAATATTGATTCCTTGGCAAAAACACATATAATGCAACTTTAGCCAAAATATTCACAGACAACACAAAGGCACCACAAACAACCCCACAGTTAGTTTGAAGAGTGCCATCACTTTGTAAAAGATGCTGTAAGAAAAAGGTTGTTTCTTGCACAAGAGCGAAAGTAATTAAAATAAAGTTTAAAAAAAAAAATAATAATAATTTAAATGTTTTAACACAAACAATGCCTACCTCGTGCACCTTTCAATTGGATCGTTTAAATCCAGTTTATAATTCCGGTGAATATATCAAAGGTCGTATTCTCTTGAAAACGGATAAAGTGAAACGAGTCAACGGTGAGTTTAGATAAAGTGAAAATGAAAATGTTTTTCAAGAGCTGTTCCCTTTCATTTCTTTTTTGTTTTTCTTCTTTTTTTTTTTTTTTTTTTTTTTTTTGGTTCTTTCAACATTAATAGCCGTTTACGTTAGCTTGGAAGGCGAGGCCAAGGTACAGTGGTCTATTAGTGGTAAGGAGACAGCGAATTATTTCGGTCATCAGCAGTATTTACATTCGCGAGCCAGTGTTTTCGATAATACCGAATTTTCAGCTGGCACTCATATCTATGTCTTAACGTTGCGTATACCGCAAGACTGTCCGTCGTCTTGCGCAGGGCCCTACGGCTATATAGCCTATCATATGTCTTTAGTTATTGATAAGCCGCGCAGTTTCAATGAGGTTTTCCGTCAACCAATTACCGTAGTCCAAACACTGGACTTAAATATAAATCCAGATTATTCGGTAAATATTATTATTAAATTATAACAAACAAGAACCGTATAGTGGGCTATTGCCATCTATTAAAAAGCCTACACCACCCTAACGTTATTCAAAACAAAACGTTATAAGGGAAGTGATCGAAAGAGTGGTCCAATCCGAACCATTGCCAATTGTCGGCCTTGAACCAAAACCCGCAAGTATACCAAATTTTATCAAAATATCCACAGATTGAATACAAAATAAACAAGAGAGACACATGGAAAGACAAGCTAAGGATCGACTCATAAAGTGATTCTGAATCGATCGGTGTAATAAAAGGTAAATCCATCGCAAGTCCTTCCATATCATGTACATGTCCGCACGTTTGCACTACAAATGATGTGTAACGTGCACAGAAGGAGGACACTAAGAATTGTATTCCTAAATCGGTGTCCACCTTACTCACAACTTTTCTAAGTTTAGTGCAACAAATTTCATTAAAAAATATCGCAAAAATTGTAAATTGACAGACAGACAGACAAGTAAAAAACAATGCAAAAAATAATTTTGATATAATAAAAGGTAAATCTATTTCATGTCCTTCTGAATGTTCCATATATCTTTCGAACATGGGTGGTGTAGGGTATAAAAACCAAAAATATATTGAAATTTTTTCCTTTTTCTATTCATTCTAGTTATCCTTAAATGAAGAAAGTATGAAATACTTGTGCCGTTGGCCTTGCAGTTCAGGTCCTTTAAATTTTCGCCTCTCTTTGCCTTATGCCGGTTATACACCCGGGCAGTATATAAAATTTCAATTAGAGCTAGACAATCAGTCGCCTCATTATGACGTCTGGGCTGTGGAGGCCTCTTTGAAACAGCATTTTGTATTTTTGGCCCGTAAGCCACTTAAACGTAACTATCATAGCAAAACTCTCTATAAAATGGTAATTGAAGAGCGGACTTTGCGTTTATCGAAACGTTTATACGAAGCTTGTGTTTATGTTCCCATTAATACGCCAAGGTCAACTTTGAATTTAAATTATATAGTATTTTTGCACTATAGCTTACAAGTGAAACTGAAAACTGGTTGTTTTCATTATGACGCGGAAATTTCATTACCCGTTATTATTGGCACAACGCCCATACGAGAATTTCTGGCCGAGCAGAGAGCTTTAGAAGGTCAAAGTAATGCCGCCGATGGTAATAGGGCTTGGGGCGCCGAAGTGTGCAGGGGTTTAGTAACAACGCAACCTACACTTAGATTACAGCAAGAATTGAATAATTTATTAAATTATACCATAATAACGCAACGCGACGACTTGAATAAACTGGAAGAGCAGCGAAAAAAGAAGAAAAATGATGATGATCCTCCGTCTTATGATAGTTGTTGTAGGTTAAAATTTGTTATTTAAATTTGGAAAAAGAAAAAAATAAGTAAATATTTTTCGTGTACTTTTCAGTACCGCCTTCATTTAGTTACGCTACACTGGGTAGTCGTGATACTTTAGATTCTACAGAGCCCATGCCCAAGGGATCTAAGAGGAGTAGCGTACATTTACCGCCGTTTCCCAGCTACAATACCTTTAGCAATCCTACCGATTCGTTACTTGATGCAACAGGGGCTTACCAAGGATCTTACGGATCTTTAGGTACAAATCAAACGGGACGTTCTTTGGATACTTTGGAGATCTTAAGCGTTAGAGACGAACCCGACAATGATGAAGACGATATTCACGAAATCGAAACTACTCAAGTCCAAATAGAAAACGTTGCTGAAACGAACGAACCGTCAATGAACCGTATGAGCTAAGATTTATCGCTAAGAGCTTAAAGATACGAACCAAAGAGTTTAACTAAACAAGTATATTTTTATAAGAGCTTAAGCACACGAGCCTTAGTTCGATATTCCTTAATAATCTTAAGTATAAAAAAGCTTTGCTGATATAAAAAAAAAAACATTCTAAATGTTTTTAAAAAAGGTTTGGAAAAGAAAATTACATGAGCGAAGAAAAGCAAAGTTTGAACAGAACCAAAAATCTACTAGAAACTAGAAAATCAACGGCCTACCAATTCCAACTAACAGCTTACGAGGTCTACTGCACCTTCCAGAGGGGAAAAGAAATGAAAATGCCATGTATTGGTGTGGGTTTCGAACTAGTGATGTGGAATGAGCCGCTTAAAAAAGCATTACCAGGTACGCAAATATGAAACGACAAAATAATGAAAAATATTTTACTGGTCGCTGGTTGCTTGTTGTCCATATTTTGCATTCGTCTCATATGATGTTTTGACCCTTTCAGGCAAAATAGTCATTGAACCACTTTCGTATATTCTCCTAAGAAGTGAAGTGCTGCGTAGTAAGCGCCTATCCCATTGATGGAAACAAGAGGTGATCGGAAGTACTCGAGTTTCATGAGTAAACCGCATGAGCTAAATCCTCCCTTTTCTATGCGAACTGGCTTCACTATATGGACACGCGGACATCTGCTATTCGTTTTGATATTTGCTCTCAGTTTTTCAATATTGAATGATTCAAATCGAGTAACTGTTGTTTGTAGCGTTTGGTACTACCCGTTACAGCTTACAACAGAGCACACTGTTCTGCTTCCACTGAACACACAATATTGTCTTTCTGCTCAAGTAATTCAGTCTCACAGTCGATGTGTATGGTATGCTCGAGTGCTCAAGCCTGAGATTGTCAGAAGAGCTTCATCAAAAAAGACTTTTTGTTTAGTCTTCGACATTCTTCGAAAAATTAATTTTGCTTTGTGATTCGCTAGAGTTACGGCTACAACCTTATTGTCAACTATTCAGGCTATAAAAGAAATGTTTCGCGCTCGTATGCACTTTACTTGTAGTGTTAGAGGTATGTATGGGCAAATCCGGTTTCATATTTTTATGCCCAGTACAAACGAATTATGAATTCGCTGGATTTTGTTTCGCTGACCTCAGCAGGTGCCGTTAGCCTCAAAATTGTAATATACTTCAGTCACCATTATTTCGAATTTCTTAGTTTGTACGGAAGAATTGAACTAGGCAGGCCCCTGCGGAGGTCCGTCGCAACTCCTTACACCTATAACGCGGCTCTTAATTATACGTCAGGGTTATGGATTCTATTACTCTCATTATTTTCTACCTAATACAAAGTCTTCATTGGAAAACGCACAAAATCGATTCGAGCTTTTCACCGAAGCAGAATAAGTGCGTATGTCAAGCAAAGGTGATATTTGCCTTCAATTAAAACCTAAGTCAAATTCATCACCAAAACACAATGCAACCTTTTAACGCATCGAGCAAATGGCGAACAACCTCTCCTTAATAGTAGAGTCAATGTAGAAGACTTGGCAAACCTTCTCTTTCTTTTATGATGTTCAAAGCAAGGTTGTGCATAACAGGCAACTACTTGGAAAAATGTCGGATTAACTTTCGCATAAGGAATATGTGTGATGTCTTTCATCGAGTATTGTACTTAAGGAATATTATCTTAGCTACTATCGCTCATTATCCATTTGCCTCTTTTAGCAAACATTTTCATTTACAATTGAGGGAGAGACGCAGTTATAAGAAATTTTTCAAATCAACTTTTGAAAGGATGCAGTACGGCCCTATTATTTGAAAGTTTATTTGTTACTTGTATCTTGTTTAAAACTCAATTATAGGAATTATATGCAATGACTTATTTAAAAACTCTTATAAAACCAAATTACACAATGCATTCCGCTTGAAGATTTTCAGAACATTCTATAAGTTAAGGAAAAGGAAAATTAGAAAAAAGAGAAAAATCTTTTTAATTGAAAATATTTTTCCGACCATTTTTATCTGCTATGTTAATGACATGATCCAGCGCAGAATTTGCCATCAATCGAATCTCTTCGTTATGACTCCCTATGATTATTGGTATTCTTAAGTAGCTGCTGTTATTAAAGCCTCGCATTTCAATAAATATATGTAGTGAATAATTAACCATAATTATAGTTGGATCCTGACTGGTAATCGGTAACGTTTCAGGTAACTGAAGACATCCGGTCACAATACATTGCGCTAAGCGGCGACATGGCTTATTATGAGTTGTTGTTAATAAGACCTTTATATCGTGACGCGATTTTTTATAGGGACGTTCAGCTTGAAATTGATGCTTTTGTATTAATACCAAATCAATTTTTTCTATATCAAAATATCGGCTTGCGTTATCAACGGTTATGGTGTATTCGATTTGATCGCCCGGTATAAATGCACAAGAATTCAAAGCAATTGTGGCATTAAAAGGTTTGCTTACACAAGGCAAAAACCACCAATTGGTATTGTAATTGAATTCCTTGCAAAAGGGTCTCTAAAAGAATAGAAAATTGAATATTTTTTTCCGACTTTTTTACACTCGTTTCATTTTACCAATAGTTTCGGGTTTAAAGATAAATTAAGGCTTCTCTGTATATGAATGGGAAGAGTGTACAATTTCTGAAATCCTTTCGTATCATGCAGCACCAGGGATAGTTCATATTTAATGTAACCAAACTTGGCCGTGCATGACGATGGCGTGGCTCGAGGTATTTTCAAAGAAAACTCATAGTAATGAGTTCCTGGTTCCATGCTCTCACGCACCAAACTTCGTTGTGCATTGATGGATATCAATTTGTTTTCAAACCGTTGGTCGTAATGCACGGTGAAACCGTTTTGAGTTCTCGCTTCCAAATCATTCCAATCAACGATGATCTCACTACCGAAGGCTACAAATAATTCTTTGAAAAATAAAAACACCAATGATTTTAATGATTTTTCGGCCGTTTTTCTGCGTTTAGCTTTTACCAATGAAATGAAGAAGATCGGTATTTTCCAGTACAACCGTACCGGTTATTGTATCACCGCTTAAAAATTCGAAATCATCGGTTTGTAAATGCATTTTTGAGTTTGAAAACATCTTGGTCGACAAAGTTTTTCAAATATTTTACAAGCAAGGAAACGAAAAATTTATGACATTTTACAAAAATTTAAAGTTAAAAGTGTCCAAAAACAAAAACAGGTTTCTAAGTTTTTTCATCCCAGGTATCAGATAACATAGCAAACGCTTTTACAAAGTACACGTTCTTGCAAAGTAATAACAATTTTTAATGCTATTGAGCTGTTACCAAAAATAATGGCCAGTGAACCAGCTCACTTTGCGTATAATTTCGTAAACTTACTCTTCGCTTATTCATGTCTCACGTCTCACAATACCGACATACAAACCTACATACAAGCTCTTAAAGAATTTATAACATAAGCAACATAATAACATTAAACACACTATGTTATTCAGTAACAGAATTAAGTTATACAAAATTATATTATTTCACACACTAGCACCTGACCAATTGTGTTAATTTTTTCGTTTTGTATCAATACAAAACCAACTTCAAAGTTGAAGTGAAAAAAT